GTAATATAATAACATATGTAATATAATAAAAGAAATGTAAAATAATATGACATGTAATATAATAAGATAGTTAATATAATAAGATATGTAATATAATAAGACACATAATATAATAAGATATGTAATATAATAAGACATGTAATATAAGACAAGTAATATAAATAAGATATGTACTCCGTCAGTTAGACTCTTGTGTACTATGTCCTCAAAAATAATTGTTATGGTGGCTGCCAAAGACCCAAATGGAGTTCAAAAGAGTAACTGTGCTGGACAGTTCTATGTCAGCTTGACGTCATCTGAGAGGAGGGAACCTCAAGTAAGAAAACGCCTCCATAAAATTCGAAAATACTGCAGTCAAAATATTCAATGAAATACTGGCAAACCAAATCCCCAAACACATAAAAAATAAATCCACCATGATCAAGTAGACTTACTCCCAGAAATTCATGGATGATTCAACATACAAAAATCAGTCAATGTAATCCACCATATAAATAAACTAAAAGAAAAAAAAAACATGGTCATCTTATTAGATGCTGAAATACCTTAACAAAATCCACACCCTTTCATGATAAAGGTCTTGGAGAAATCAGGAATACAAGGAACACACCTAAACTTAATAAAGGCAATATACAGCAAGCCAACAGCCAACATTAAACTAAATGGAATGAAACACAAAGAGATTCCACTGTAGTCAAGACAGACAAGGCTGGCCACTCTTCCCTATCTCTTCAGTATAGGATTGAAAGTTCTAGCGAGAGCAATAAGACAACAAACGGAGATCAAGGGGATACAAATTGGTAAGGAAGAAGTCAAACACTCATTATTTGCAGATATGATATAATAGTCTACTTATGCGACCCCAGAAACTCTACTAGGGAACTCCTACAGCCGATAACACCTTGAGTAATTGTTGGAAGCTGCAGATTCCTGGCCCCTTGATTTTCTTTGCCTACCTCAGATTCATTGCCTGCTGGAGTGAGCAAAACACCTGTACCTGCATGAGACCTGGCTTGCAGGTGAACTGAGCATGAGCTCTGAGCACGAGACCTCACCTGCAGCTGCTCTGAGCATGAGATCTGAGCAGGAGGCCTGCAGCTGAAAAATCCTGAGAAATGGGCGTGGCTAAGGATCCCTATATAAGATTTTCCTGAGCATAATAAACTTGGCACTTGGCACTCTTGTTTCAAAGATGACCCATGTCTGAGTCTCTCTGTCTCTGTGTTTGTCTGTATGTTTTTAACTCTCCAGGCTCCATTCCCAAGGCGCACAACCTGTCCCGTAGTGGCTTGGGACCAGCCTGTAGTGCAGGCCGTAGCACAGGCAGTAGCTACAGGCCTAGTACCGTAGTATGTGCAGTATAGGCACGAACTGTATGGTAGAGCGAAGAGCACTCGGAACTTTCGGGGGTTTTACAGTTGGAGGCCCCACTGGGATAGAGACAGTGTTCGGTTTTTACAAGTAATGAGGCAGGACACAAGATTTACTCAAAATATTAGTAACCCTCTTATATACAAATTATAAATAGGTTTAGAAAGAAATCAGAGAAACACAACCCTCTACAATAGCCACAAATAACATAAAATATCTTGGGATAACCCTAACCAAACAAGTTAAAGACCTATATTATAAGAACTTAAAGTCTTTAATGAAAGAAATTGAAGAAATGTCAGAAAATTGAAAAGTCTCCCATGCTCTTGGATAGGTAGGATCAATATAATTAAAAGCCAATATTACCAAAAGCAATCTACAGATTCAATGCAATCCCAATCAAAATCCCAGTACAATTCTTCACAGGCATTGAAATTAACAGTATTCAACTTCATATGAAAAAACAAAAAACCCAGGATGGCCAAAACAATCCTGTACAATAAAGGAACTTCTGGAGGCATCACCCATCACCATCCGTGAAGTTTTACTATAGAGCTATAGTAGTAAAAATAGCTTGGTATTGGCATAAAAACAGATGCGTGGACTGATGGGATCAAATTGAAGATCCTATTGTTAATCTATACACATATGAACAACTAATTTTTGACAAAGAAGCCACAATTGCACAATAGGGAAAAGAAAGCAGCTTCAACAAATAGTGCTGTCATAACTGAATGTTGACATGTAGAAGTGTGAAAATAGATCCATCTCTATCCTGGACATTCACAAAACTTAAATCCACATTTGGACTTGACCTCAGCATAAATCCAGTTACCCTGACCCTGATAGAAGAGAAAGTGGGAAGTAGGCTTGGATGCATGGGCACAGGAGACCATTTCCTAAATATAACATCAGTAGCACAGACACTGAGAACAACAATTAATAAATGGAACCTCCTGAAACTGAGAAGCTTCTGTAAGGGAAAGGACATGATAAATAAGACAAAACAATAGCCTACAGAATGGAAAAAGATATTCATCAACCCCACATCTGACAGAGGGCTGATTTCCAAAATACATAAAGAACTAAAGAAACTAGACATCAAAATATCAAATAATCCAATTAAAAAATCGGGTACAACTCTAAACAGAGAGTTCTCTACAGAAAAAACTCAAATGGCCAAAGGACATTTAAAGAATTTCTCAACATCATTGCCATTAGGGCAATGCAAAAACAAAACAAAACAAACAAAACAAAACAAAAACAACTCTGAGATACCACCCAAGATCAAAAACACTGATGACAGTTTATGCTGGAGAGGATGTGGAGTAAGGGAAACACTCCCCCACTGTTGGTGGGAGGACAAACTTTTACAGCCACTTTGGAAGTCAGTATGGTGGTTTCTCAGAAAATTGGGAATCTATCTACCTCAAGACCTAGTAATACAGTAACTTTTGAGCATATACCCAAAGGATGCACAATCATACCACAAAGACATTTGTTCAACTATGTTCATAGCAGCATTATTCATAATAGCCAGAACCTGGAAACAATCTAAATGCCCCTCAACTGAAGAAAGGATAAAGAAAAATGTGGTGCATTTACACAATGGAGTATTAATCAGTGGTTAAAAAAATGACATCTTGATACATGCAGGGAAATGGATGGATCTAGAAAAAAAATCCAGAGTGAGGTAACTCTGATCCAGAAAGACAAACATGGCTTGTACTCATTCCTAAGTGGGTATCAGAAGCAAAGCATAGGATAACCAGGCTCAATGCACAATCTCAGAGAAGCTAGGAAAAAAAGAAGGACCCTAAGAGGAACACACATAGAGGGCCCCGGCAAAGGGAGCTAGTTAAGATCTCCTGGATAAACGGGAAGGGGAGTAGAAGGGAGGGAATGGAGGGTGGAAACATGAAGACTCCAGATGACTTCACTGGGGGAGGGACAAAGAGGGGGAACAATGAAAGAGATATCTTGATAGAAAGAGTCATTATGGGGTAAGGGAGAAACAAGATGCTAAGGAAATCAACAAGGATGACCCCAGCTAAGACTTCACTATTCACACCCTCTTCACTACTGCTAGGAGTCTTAACTGGGGTCATTCTGTTTGAGTTCCTGTCCTAACTTCCTTCAATGATGGACTACAATGTAAAAGTATAAGCCAAATAACTCCCCAACCTGCTTTTGCTTATGGTGTTTCATCACAGCGATAGAATCCCTAACTAAGACATTTTCTCAGTGCCATGCATGTGCATTATCAGCATCAATTCCAGCAGGACAAGAACATATCTAGTGAGAGAGTGAGACAGGGAACCTCCCAAGGGAACCCTCACCTGCACTCAGCTGTATTGTCA